GTAGGGAAAACTTACTTAATCACTGTTTATATAGTTACATTTGGATATTACATGTAAAATTAGTAGTCACTTTTAACTTTTATATCATGTAAATTTATATACAATTCAGCCATTTTGGCTGCAATGATATATCAAATAAACTATCTAAATCGCATATGCAATATAATAAACCACAAGTGTGATATCACAAGTTGCGCCAAGCACGCTTGAAATTTGATGCGCTTAGCATGAAATTCCAAAGCTTCCAAGCCCTGAAGTGGAATACAGATTGTGGAATGCGCAACCCAAGTCAGGATGAAATATTTTAACAAATAAACTAGTTCCCAACTTCAAATGGCGTTAGAATATGTCTTTTTTAATCTTCTAAAATGAAAATACTTTGTCTGTTGAGTAAAATGCACTTGACAGCTTCACTGTTAAAATAGTTTTGGTTTTATATCAGATATGCATATTTCAATCACACTTGTCTGCTAGTCCACGCGCACATGCAATACTCGATATAGCAGGAGCACACTAACCAATATCCGCCACCTATTCTCAACTTAATTTGGCAATAAATCTACAAGAATGTGGGTGAATACAATTAAACAACAACATATTAGTATTATATTCCATGTCGGTACATGGTTTCATATGACTCATATGTGATAAAAAAAATCATGTTTATTTACATAAACTTAGGCTTTGATTTTCTCACGAAATTTTTGAAGATAAAAATGAATCCGGGTATATGTGGACGGGGCCTAAGCGTTGTTTTAACGTTGTCTAACTGTATTTCTAAAATGATATCGCCAATGAACTCATCAGATAGGTCGTTTTATGAAACACTCGCAATCTGTGCTTTATCAGATATAAAACACTTGAGGTATACGCTTTCATAAAGAGCTGCTCGTGTTTTAAATAGTGCGTAAAATATGGTAGTGTTTACTGTACATAAAACTCGTTCCAAAATCTGTCCGGTAACCGGTATGGTGGCGACATGTCCTACGCAAATGTACTCTTTACATCGGTTCCCTTCTAAGTGCTACTTAATTCGTTTACCGCGAAGCTCGCAAGCTTAATATTAGAAACGCAAGCGCTAAAAAACAAGCACTATGACTATCTTATACTTACATAAAATCCCCACAAGCCGATACTAACAGCAGGTGGGCTGCTCATTTTGCTCATCGCGACGCCACCACAAATCACAGAGATGAATGTGAATACCAACAACAAACATCCAATTGCGATCGAGCCCATACCTACACCCTTTGACATAGCCATGATTTCGTTGGACCTTGAGAATTTCTAAAAGATGACTCACCAGTTGAATTCGGTGCAAAACTTCTGATTTTTAACGCACAGTCGACTAAAACGTCTGATTCTTAAAACTTTCTGTACTCCTGCCTGTGTAATCGATCTCACATGCATTGTGACGCGTGTTCCTTCCAAGATCCCTATTGGCTAGAAAGTGTGAATTTGCAAAACGAAAGCACAGGTTGCTTAGCAACTATCATGCGTGAGCATGTGTGTGCACAGATGTTGATTTCACCCAGTATGTCAGGCGACTAATATATTTACTTCAAACTCATTAATAATTCATAAGCTTATTGGCAAATCATATCAACCATAATATGTCACGTGCAGTGGCTTTAAACCTGATAAAACAGAATACTAATAGGGCATTATATCTCTTGAATTTGTAGTCGTGTTTGAAGCCGTTTAATTAATAAACTCGCAGGTCGTGTTTTATTAGGTCTAAAGCCACTCGCGCTGCGCGCTCGTGGCTTTAAACCTAATAAAACACTCCTGCTCGTTTATTAAACAGTACATAATATGTTTACGCGTATATGGTAGAACATTTATACAACGTGTGGATAAATGAATACATGAACCAACAAAACGAAGCCCTGGTCTTTCGTTTGACATCAAATCTGCCAACTAAGCTCATTAGCGACGTAACGGAAAACGACCGACATATTTTGCCTACCGAGATTGACTTATTTGACCTTATTTTAATAGCTTCGATAAATTTTTTTCTTGAGCAGGTTATGAAGGCGCAATTATGGCTGGTAACTAACTGAATATCATGCTAAGAATCGTATGTTTTCAGTAATATTAAATTATTTAGCCGAAATTACGTCGATTGGGCTATGAATGTTCGCGTTTGCGATAAGTTAGCTCACACAGATTTTGACATATTCGTGCACGCGTGCGAAGCGCTTCAGCTGCGCTTGAGCATATATTAATATGTTATTGACACACACACACAATAATATATTCATAGAGAATCGTTATTTGTTACAGAACTCAGAAGCTAAACAAATTGTGCGCAAAACGCTTTGCGCACAACTGCGCGCTGGTCGAACAAGAAATGAAGGGGGAGTTTGCATTTACGTAAGATTGAATTACGCGTTTTTACATTATACGAAATTAACTAAGATATATTATTCAAAATAAGCTATATAAGAGAATATAAAATTATTAAAAAGTTAATTTAAAACTACGAATACGTTCTAATTGCATATGGGAGTCTAAACCGTTCAGTTTTAGTCTTAATTAAGGGTATTAGCAACAAAAAATTTTATTGCTTCATCTGAAAGAGCATAAAAAAATACACCGATTGGCAGTTTAATGCTCTATTCTATCTCATCTATAGTCCGAAGTTATACGCAAAAATGTGTAAAATATAAGTTGCTGATTTAGCACAACGTGTGACGTCATTAGTTGGGTAAGTATGTTCAGGTTTAATGAATACTAAACTGAAGCATAGCTCAGTTATTATGGGCCCAAATCAAATGAAATTTTGCATACTGATTGTACATGATGAGATGCATTGAACCGAGCTTGGGCCTGGGGACGAGGATGAAAACACTTCTAATTTTGTTGCCAAGGTAACAATGTCGTTCCCAGGCCCCTTGCGCCAATTTTATAAAACAGCTTTATTCATGGTACTTGTAAAAATAAAATAATATCAGAAGTATGTGTACCATACCGGCTATGCATGCCAAAAGTTTACTTGCGTGATAATAATTCGAAAATAACATACACATAGATAAATGCAACTAGTTATTCAAAATCAGTGTAAGGGGCGTGGGAACGACTGTGTTGCCTTGACAATAAAATTAGAAGTATTTTCCCATGCGTCTCGTTATGTACTATCTGTATGCAAAATTTCATTTGATTTGAGCCAATAATAACTGAGCTATATGCTTCAGGGCTATTCAATAAACATACTTACCCAACTAATGACGTCACACGTTGTGCTCAATCAGCAATTTATATTTTGCACATTTTTGCGTATAACTTCAGAACCAGATGAGATAGAATAGAGCAGTAAACGGCCAATCGGCTTATTTTTTCGTGCTCTTTCAGATAAAGCAACAATTTTTTTATTGCCAATACCCTGACGAAAGGCGATCATTACGCAAGTTATATTGATGTTCACTACTAAATGGTAAAATGTTAAAAATATTTACTCGGAATATTTACGACATAGAGTTTCTCTTCGGTGACCTAGAACGGCTGCTTGTTTAGAAATTAGCCAAGCTAACAGTCAGTATTTCATTATTTCGTGTGTTTTCGCCATTTGACATGTTACATGCATTTGAGACCCAATCTATTTCTTCTTTTCGTAGCTTACTTAAAATGCGACAAAGAACGTCTCGTCAACTTATACGCAGAGCTTTCTCCCGAACTGTCAAAAGCTCTACTTTGACTTGCATTTGATAGTGTCTTGTAAAGCTATACATGTGATATTATGCTCAATTTGGATAAACTATAGCTTATAGCCAACAAAATTATGTTGTCTCATTATCGGCATATGATAGTAAAACTTGTATTATAGTATAATTATATTCGTTCATAATATGCTACAACAAAACCTGACTAACGTTGTTTTACGGATTGGTATTTGGCAGTAAAACATTATAGTTTCACAAAATGTGTTCTCAAAATGTTGGAAATGCCATTTCGCAGACCTAGATTTTAAAAACATTTAGTGGAAGAGCATGCCTCAGACCTCTTCTAGGTCCCTCGTGCTTACTACACTCGAGTAATGTTCACTCACGCACTAATTTTTCGGGGGGGGGGCGCAAGGATCGAGATAACTCTTAGGGGCGACAAATTTAACACTGGCCCCCCTTGAAATTTTCGAACCACCACGCCACTGGCACTGTTTCTATAGACCACCAAGAACCCCTATTGAGGATATATTTATCTGAGGGATATATCGGAAAACCGCGCCGGCACGGGCAACAGGCACTTCATGAAAAGGACAGGCACTAAAATTAGTGATTGAAGGCCTTTCTTCAAAAATACAAAATGCATAAAATTGAGCCATGAGAATAATGTTTATACCTACAATCCTGGACAAAACCATCTGCGAATACGTTTTTAACCTTATTCTGGGAATACAATCAACGATTGAATGGTGGGTGTAAGGGGCAGGTTTTTCTAAATTTGCGATAATATTACGCAGATGTTTTGTCCAGGATTGTAGATCATTATAAAAAATGCACTAAAAAGTGAATTTTCCGTGCCGTCTTTCCCATATATAAATGTCCGCGTTTAACTGCCGGTCTTTTCCACAAGTGCCCGTCTTTTCCATATTAAACCGTGGGTGAAACATTGGTGACTCGTAGAAGAGAGGGCAAATGAAGACTAATAAAGAATGTCGGAAAGTAACTGTCTGCAAATAAACTGAGTTTGAATATTACAAAAACTGTGTACGTTCTGATTGGATGACGGTCAGATAAATAACTACGCCGATGCTCAACATGGAGCTAAAATTGATAGCCAATCAATCAAAGAAGTGAAACATGCTAAAGTGCTTGGAGTTCAGATTGACGAGCATTTAAATTGGGGAAAATATATTGAATTCATTGCCAGCGGTAAAATATTGGAGCTATAAGAAAACTTAAGGAGTTTGTTGATCGAAACACCTTGATCGAAAAGTAACACTTTTTGTCTTATATAGTTTTCGCATACTTCAACTTCTAAATAGTAGAAAGGTGGTAAACCTGGCAACGTCAGAATAGCTCATCTGATTGCATTCATCAATGTCATAGCATCAATTTTGGCCCCCGGGGGTGCCAAATTTTTAGGGGGGGAGGCAAATTTCCTGTGACACCGGTTACACTTAAATATTTTCAGTTGGCGTTGAATTATATTTGGCGCTGTATTGAAACTTCACATTGGTTTCATGCATATTATCAATGGGTGATTGCTAGATAGTATACTTCAAAATAAGGTGTCCGTTTTTATAACGTAGAAAAAACTATCCTAACGCAAAACTAAACCCTAACACTAACCCCAACCCTAACCTAACCCTATAACCTAATCCTAATTAATTTATTCTAAAAATTGATATAAAAACGGAAACCTTATTTTGAAGTATACTATCCGCTAGCAATTGCCATTATCAATGTCGTGTATTTGCGATGTCGTGTATTTGCGTTCTGGCCTCTCAAAATTACTTTGTTTTATCTCAGTTTAAAGCCCCGTTTACACTACGCCGCAATTTTTGGTACGGCTGACGGATAAAATTGGTACCCGTACCACTTTTTTGGTTCCAAAAAAGTGGTACGGTACCAAAAATCGAGCGTAGTGTAAACGGGGCTCAAAATATAGGTAGTCCAATAACCAAAAAAGTGGTACGGGTACCAATTTTATCCGTGCCGTACCAAAAATTGAGCGTAGTGTAAATGGGGCTTAAATGTATCTGGCGTTTGAGAAACACATAATAATAATAGTTATAGTCAACATAACACATACGCACAATTAAGATTCTCCTCTTAATTTGATAGTGCACAAATGAAACTTGGTTCAGTTCTATCAATGCATAATTGTTCGTGTATATATAGGCCTTTAATAATACATTATTTGACCTGTAAAAAGCTACGATAATTACATATTTAAAAATGTAATCAATTAGCTTTGCTGATACCAACGACCATTTGAACTTGACCAGCAGGTTGATCATAAGGTGGTGGCTGTTGGCTGTAGATCGGGTATGCTTGTGTGGTCATCACCACTGTATTTGGTGGTGGCTGCTGGTTGTAGGAAGGGGGGGAGGGGCAAGGGTATTTTCGTGACTCGTGATTAGCATTCTATTCGTGCTTCGTGATTCGTGATTTAAAGAAATACCATTCCGTGAATCGTGATTAATATGCGTGCCGTGAATCGTGAAGAGCTAAAAGACTAGCTAGGGTCTTGAATTTACCAGTATTTTGCCCTAACTTGTGAATGTTTACGTTTAAAACTCGGTCCAAATTTAATATTATTGGGGAGGGGGGGGGGGGGGGGGGGGGAATGAATTAATTTTCTTTCCGCGGTTGTCTTTCTTGAGGTTTCTTCGTTACATCGGTAAACGTTTGTCGTATACCTTCGTACCTCTTCGTGAACTATCGTACGACACTCGTATTGTTCCGTAATGTCTCGCAATGATTTCCATAGTCCTTTTAAACGGCTCTAATTTTAAAGTCAGTATGTGTTAAATGGTTTCAGACTTTGTTACGCTTCTGTGTTTCTAAAAATCGTGAAAATGAAATTTTGTTTTTCGTGACTCGTGAAATTGAAAAATGATCTTCGTGATTTCGTGACGAGACCCCCTTGCACCCCCCCCCCCCCCCCCCCCACCCCCTTGTAGGCCGAGTGTGCTTGTGCTGCGGCAATCATTATTGTATTCGGTTGTTGACCTGTTGTGACGTTATTTTTGTGAAAAACCATATTTCTTCTTATATATTTACAATTTAAACCACTCTGGTTAAAATTGCCAGGTTAACCAAAAAATAAGGCGATTTGTGTTAACTTAATTGATATTTCTTGTTTAATTTAAAGTTCTGCTTGTTAAAGATGTTTAAAATCCTTTGCGTGAGTTGGATTACTACTAGTAATTAGTCAACTAATTTGCATGCCACCAC